GAAAAAAAGGCATTTCAAGTTAATGAGAAGCCTATTTGATATTTTTCTTATGGGAGAATTTGAATAGTTGGTGCTATTTGATATTTCAATTTTTTTTTTTTTTTTTGGCAACTTCTAGTCATAGCATTTTAGTGCACCATGTTAACCCATTGGTCGGTATCCTAATTTAGTTTTCCTTTTATAATTGTTATAATTTGAAATGTCAATTTTATTGAATAAATGTTAATGGTTATTTTTTTTACATATTGCTTTTGCGTGGGCTATTGTGGATATTTATTTTTGTGTGCGAAGATCATTTGTTCTGTATATGGAAGATATTTATTTTCAATCCTCTGTTTTGGAATTTCAGTGTTTTTGTATGAAATATTTAATTTAGATGGATTATACTTGGTGTGGATTTATATGATATTTGGAATATGATGTTACAAGTTAAAGTTTTTAGATAGTTGATAATGAAATGGGTATTACTGATAATGGATTTAGATGATAATTGATAGATGTATTATTTTGTATATGTACAGGTTAGAGGTTGCATTGATAATGGAATGCATATAATTCAGAAATTAATGAAAAATATTAAATTTATGCATTTTAAAAAAATTAATAAATAGAGCTTTTGGCAACTAAACATTTAATAGCCAAAAATAAAAGGGACCTTGTTGGCAACTAAATAGTTAGTAGCCAAAAAAATAAATGAAAGTTTTTGGTGACAAAAATTAGTAGCTGAAAAGGAGCATCATGATTTTAGCAACTAAAAAATTGTAGCCAAAAAAGAGTGTCACGTTTTTAGTGACTAAATATTATAGTCGCCAAAACAAAAAAGCACATTTATTGAAAATTTTGGGTGACTAAATTTTTAGTTGTCAATTAGCAACTTTCGGCGACTAAAAAAAATTAGTCGCTAATACCTTTTCTTTTGGCGATTAATTGTTTAGTCACCAATTTAGGACTTTCGGCGACTAAATATTTTTTATTCGCCAATACCTTCCACAACAATCTTCTCGCGACCAAGCCGGTGACCAAACTATTTAGTTGGGAAAACTTTTTGGGAACTAAAATATAATTTTTGACTACTAAGAATTTAGTCGCCAAACATACAATTTCTTGTAGTGTGAGTGGACAGTAAATAGCCATGGGGAAAAGGAGAAATTCATGAATGCTACCTATCATCAACAAGAAATGCTATGTATCCCAAATATTCTACCAAATATTTTACCAACGAGAAATGCAATGTTTTGTGTGAATGAATGATCATCCAAGTTTTTGAAATGTACTCGTGGCATCTATAGCATCATATGATATTTTGCGTCTCTTTACGGGTCATTGTAACAAGCCCGCGGGGGACCTCGCTACAGTTCGGACTCGATTTGTGTCACGGTCCTTAATCTGAACCAAAGAGTCCAAATCTGGCAAATCGTTTTGAGAAACAGATTTTTTGAAAAGAAGTGCCAAACATGGACTGCTTTGCCAGATACAGAGTCGCCACCTAAATATTTTAAAATGGGAGAATTTAGGAAACCCTGACTTGATGCCGAAGGCCACATGTCCGTCATCACCGGAGTTGTCTCGGCTCGGGAGCTTGGGTATGATCGGAGAAGGTCAGCTATGAGCACCCCCTCTCGCCCGATCCGAAGATCGGCCTCTACTAACCGTGATATCCGTTTTTGAAAACGTTATGTGTTCTTATTCCATTTATTATCCTAGAATTACTATGTTATGCACACAGCAAACAAGTATACTTAACAACAATTTTAATCAAACAACCAAACAGGAAATCAAACGATTGTGTAAAGGTTCTAATGCCTTGAAAGTACAAGGAACCAAAAGGAACAATTAACAATCAAAAGAGTGAAGTAAACATGGAAAAACCTCTATTGAAATCTTCTAAGTTTACAAAGTTACAAACTGTTGAAAGCTACTCCTAAAAATTAGGACAATCTACTCATAAGAATTAAGGTAGACTACTCCTAAAAATAAAGAGACAAAAAACTATGATAAGTTTGATGATTTGTTGATCTCCTTTTTCTGCTTGCATCTCTTTGTCTATTTATAATCGACGCCCAAAGCTTCTTTAGGCAAGAATTGCTAGGCAATTTCTCCTCCAATTTAGCCACGTTTGCCACTTCAAATCATGCAGGCTCCACTACTCCTCTTTGGAACCAACATTCCATCACGCTTTTTTTTTTTTTGGGTGAATCATCACGTTGTTATTTTCCTTAATTCATAGAGAGATTATGTCCGCCGGCGAGCGAAGGAAGCCACACTCGAGCAAAGACCCCTGTTTCACCAAAATTTGGCTAAGTGTTTCAAGTATATTTTTTCATCCTCATTCCATCATAGGCATTCCTAGGCCATGATTAAGACTCCATAATGAGGTTAAAGCCTAAAAACACACTAAGACAGGAAATAAGTTGTGTACAATCGAGCGTGTGTTTCAATGTAATGAATCTGCCATGTTATGTAGGTCACGCGCCTCAGATAAGTGAATTGCCACACTTTGCCATCTAATTGGGAGCTACCAATTATCTGTGAGTAATAACTCTGTAAAGTTTATGTTAACTTTAATTAATTTTCTGACGATATGAAAATGATAAGTTTTCTAAAAATGCGTGTTTTTGTATGAATGAATGATTGTCCATTTTCTTTGAAAACGTAATTGTGGTATCCTTAGCAGAGGCCCTCGCGCCCAGGGACATACTGTGGCTTATAGTCATGAGGCCCTATCCCGGGGGATAGTAACCATGGCCCCAGGCCCTCGCCCGGGGAAACATACCAGGCCTAGGCCCTCGCCGAGGGAAACAATACCGTGGCCCAGGCACTCGCCGGGGAAAACAATACCGTAGCCTAGGCCCCTCGCTCGGGAAAAAACAATGCTATTGGCCGCAGGCCCTAGCCTGAGGGAAATAATATCATGGCCAATTGTATGAGATATGTTACCCGATATCGGAGGTTCCTTATGGAACTTGATATGCCTTGACCAAGAAACATGTTTTGTGCTAATGGATTATACCAACACATGATTTGAATATGGCAAAATTATGAATTCTAATTCCGTTATCTGATTATGATTCTGATTTACTAATAAGACTTTGAATATGTTAATGGGCATCATTCATTAAAGCCTTTACTCTGTTATTATTCACTGGGCTGTAGCTCACTATCTATATTAAGGTATGTAGGTGAGCAGCAGTGACCAGGCTCAAAGTTGACGGCCTATGTTTCAGTTTTTGTCAACCAACCTTTGTGCCCTCCTGAGGAGGTTCTGAATGAAGTCAAGATTTGTGGCTATTTTTGTGTAATCAAGTTAGACCTTGGTTTGTTGTTAAGTTTTTGGACAAGATTTCTGTTGATACACCATTATGAGTGATATGTAAAGGTTAAATTTCTCAACATCAACTCATAAAGTTAATAAAAGTTTTAAATGATGCGTATCATGTATGTCTTCACAGCTCTATGGACTTCGTATGTTGTATATTTGCTTCCGTAGCCCCTAACTTTATATTAATCTGTCAAGAGGCCTTTGGTCATCCAAGGATTACTGGCCAGTTACAATACTAAACAATGGGGGCAGGTTTTGGGTCGTGACACTCTGCCTCTCTCCCCTAATATCTATCTCTTTTTCACCATTTGGATTGAAATATAGTTTTGGGAAAGAAGTAAGTACAGAAATCACATTTGGTATTTCTGGTTTTCTTTTATTCAGAAATTGGAAAACATGGCTTCATTGGGCATCCTATTACAGACAAATCTTGTCATAACAATGTTCCAAAGAATGGTTTTTCGTGAGGATCTTATAGTTGTCAAGTGTGTTCTACTTGTAATTGCTTCTATTAAGCATAAGACCTTCACCTAAGTCGAGTTGCCACTAGTTTTACTTTCTTTTTCATTTGGAAACTTTATCACACTTTCTAACGCTGTGTTTGGTTGGGGATTTGAGGAGGGATTTGGAAAGGAAAAGGGAAAAGTTATGTGAAATGTAAATAAAATATACTTACATTTCACTTAGTTTCACACACCTTTTTCCTTTCCCTTTCCAAATCCTCAACCAAACACAACATAAATGTTGGTAGGTCTACCAATAAAGTCATCCAGATTGAGATTCAGTGAAAGTTGCAAGTTTCAATGTTATCATTCAATTAAATTTAATTATTTTTTGTTTTTATATCAATATTATATTTGATATTATAATTGACTTATTCAAAAGGTTGAATTTTGACCCGAATATTAGCAAAATTTCTCTCATTTTTCACCATTCTCACTATACCATGAAAACGGAAAAGATGAAAATAAAAGTTAAGGTTGTTTACATCAAAACTTTTTTATTTTTTGATTTTTTGATTATTTTTTTTGAGGGGATGTTTGGATTGAATAAACAGTTGACCTCTGCTATTATTCATTATTTTAATCAATTTCTTATTAGTTAGATTTTTACCATTGTAATACATTAATTCTATGGTTTGATGTGATCTCCCAGGTAGGTACTTGTTCACTTCAAGCTTTTATCTCCTTGTTATAATTGATTCCATTTTCAAGCAGACATTCAATTGATGTACATATATAGTCCATCGATACCGCTTTCTTCTTTTGTAATTGGAAATGCTAATAAATCAAAAACAATAGATTGTGTGTTGCTGATTGTATTCTCATGGAATAAAATGAATCTCCTCAATAGAAAATTAACATGTTTTGGTAATCCAAGAACAAAACTGTGTTTGAGGCTAACAATAAAAAAAATTAAAAAAAAATTATTAATCAGAGAGAAATAGAGCAGCACAAAAATCAAGTAGACGTATTTGATTTAAAAACGTGCCATTATCGTGGTCAAATGTGTAAGATTCTACTTGATCTCTTAGTAAAGTTTTTAAGGGAAGCAGTTCAAATTGAAAAAATGATGCATTCTAATTCTCTTCTGTGTTTGTATTGTTTTGATTTTTTTTTTTTTTTTTGGTTTGTTATTTGTGTTTTATCTAAATATTTTCTAAGACCAATTAGACCATAGTTCACCTGGAAATTGAAACATGAACCAGTCTAGAAAAAAGAGAATGTGATATGGTATCAAAACTGCACAGTGATTATATATAAAAGTTCTATAGAATTGGGTAGTGTTGTGGTTCATGGAATAGTGTTTATAAGAGGTTTTTTCTGATTGGGGGGCTGGGGTTTATAAGACTGTTGAGGGATTAGGAAAGAGAGGATGTGGTAGAGTCAACATGTTAACTTCAACGAGTGCTTTGAGGGCAGATGAGGATGGCAGTTTGTTATGGAAACGAAGAGCTCTGGTCAGTTTATACTTCAGTCCAAATTCCAATGATATAAGAGGAGTTGATAAGATGATTTGGCAGAATGTAACCCCACCCAAAGTCATATGTTTTGCTGGTTAGCTTGGAGACAGAGATTGAAGACTGCTACATACTTGCAAAGAGTTTTGTGTTATCAATGGCAATGCCAATATGGATTGTGTGTTCCATAATGTTGAACCAGAGATTATGAACCATGTGCTACTATGGTGCCCACATATCTGGAGAATTTGGTCTCATGTGCTACTATGGTAGGGGATCCATTGGGTGATGCAGAATCTATGGAAGGAGTGTTGCTTTGGTGGCCTAGGTTCACATTCAACAAATTTGAACAGAAAATTTGGAAAGCTTTACCTCTGGTAGTATTGTGGTCCATCTGGAAGCTGAGGAATGTTGTTTTTTCTGGGTAAGCAACCAGATTCGCTGGCACTATGCGACTGCATTAAAACTAAAGTGGCTATGTGGGTTAGAGCTTCATCTCCAGATGTGTCTTTCTCTGTTAATGATCTGGTTTTTCAATTTTCGGCAATTCAGTTTTTGGGTGAGGAATTGAGTGAGGCTTTAAAAATGTCTATCTCTCTCACTAATGACTCTCTCTCTCTCTCTCTCTCTCTCTCTCTCTCTCTCTCTCTCGTCTCTCTCTCTCTCTCTCGCATCTGCCATCTTCCGATTCTCTTTAAATGAGGCAGTTCTACTTCCATGCAGAGATTTGATATTCTATTAAGATTTACAAGTGTAAAACCATATTAATGTGGGCATCACTTTTGCATCAAATCACAATGCAAGGCAATTTAGCATTTTTGTCATGTAATTACATTGTGATTTATTCGTTTCTGTTTTGAATATTTTCAAATTCAATGATAATTCTTTGAGCTTGGCTTCTTTTTTGTCAACAAAGCCATTACTTTATTACTCTGCTTCACTATAGCTATTTTATATGTTCTCTCTTTCAACCATCCTCGTCCAACATAGTGGAGTTGCTGAATTGCAGTGTTCTACCAGCTGGTGTGGAGTTCTACACATCAGGCTTCAATTCTAATGATGTCTCAACCTTTCCACAGAGTTATCCTATTGTTTTTAATGGTATGCAACTCTTGTATATATTTCTAGCAATGTTTACTTGTAATTATTCAAGTTTTTGCTCCTAGCATTGACAGTATGCAATTTGTTTCTTTCCTTCTCAAATTGGCTGACTAGATGTAGTAGGATTTGATTTAAAAGCAAGGTATATTCTTTTTATGAGGTTCTAGCACATCATCGAGGGTCTGTTTCTTTTGTTCTCTGTAAAGTGGTTGCTCCCTTGGGGGGTGGATGAAATGTAAAAACAAAATTACGACTCACATATAGCCCTCCAATTTCTAGAAACAAAAAATAAAGGCATCCCCTTGATTTTTTTTTTTTTTTTTGATAAATATAGGTATCCCTTGATAGGAGAAAGACATTGAAGCCCAAAAGAAAGACAAATAACAAATATTGTCCCACAACCCTCCACTCTCTTCAATCTTGCTCTAAAAAATTCTTGTATTTCTTTCCAACCAAATTTTAATTCTACACAACCAAACAACCTACTCCCAGTAGCCATAGCATCCCTTGAATAGAGGTTGGGACATTGAACTTACTAGTAGCCATAAATTCCAATTGTGAGTGGAGTACTTTACTTGAGGTTAGAAGATCTTTAAATAAGTTGGTCTAAGGATGTCAATTTTTAAATCATATCTTCTCAAATCTTTATTGGCGACTTGTTTTCTTCCTTTATTCATGCGATTCACAGGTGAAGAGAAACCAGATCGGTGAAAGAATGAGAAAACTACAAGAACTTGTTCCAAACATGGAGAAGGTAAGGTTACAAAAATGCAAACACTTTTTAAATGCCATCTGGTGCTTTTTATTGATGTGTATTATTGTTAGATTTTGGTCAACTTTTTGAATGGTTATGAAGCACAATTTGCTGAAGAGAAAAAAAGGCATTTTCAAGTTAATGAGAAGCCTATTTGATATTTTCTTATGGGAGAATTTGAATAGTTGGTGCTATTTGATATTTCAAATTTTTTTTTTTTTTTTTGGGCAACTCTAGTCATAGCATTTTAGTGCACCATGTTAACCCATTGGTCGGTATCCTAATTTAGTTTTCCTTTTATAATTGTTTAATTTGAAATGTCAATTTTATTGAATAAATGTTAATGGTTTATTTTTTTACATATTGCTTTTGCTGGGCTATTGTGGATATTTATTTTTGTGTGCGAAGATCATTTGTTCTGTATATGGAAGATATTTATTTTCAATCCTCTGTTTTGGAATTTCAGTGTTTTTGTATGAAATATTTAATTTAGATGGATTATACTTGGTGTGGATTTATATGATATTTGGAATATGATGTTACAAGTTAAAGTTTTTAGATAGTTGATAATGAAATGGGTATTACTGATAATGGATTTAGATGATAATTGATAGATGTATTATTTTGTATATGTACAGGTTAAGGTTGCATTGATAATGGAATGCATATAATTCAGAAATTAATGAAAAATATTAAATTTATGCATTTTAAAAAAATTAATAAATAGAGCTTTTGGCAACTAAACATTTAATAGCAAAAATAAAAGGGACCTTGTTGGCAACTAAATAGTTAGTAGCCAAAAAATAAATGAAAGTTTTTGGTGACAAAAATTAGTAGCTGAAAAGGAGCATCATGATTTTAGCAACTAAAAAATTGTAGCCAAAAAAGAGTGTCACGTTTTTAGTGACTAAATATTATAGTCGCCAAAACAAAAAAGCACATTTATTGAAAATTTTGGTGACTAAATTTTTAGTTGTCAATTAGCAACTTTCGGCGACTAAAAAAAATTAGTCGCTAATACCTTTTCTTTTGGCGATTAATTGTTTAGTCACCATTTAGGACTTTCGGCGACTAAATATTTTTTATTCGCCAATACCTTCCACAACAATCTTCTCGCGACCAAGCCGGTGACCAAACTATTTAGTGGGAAAACTTTTGTGGAACTAAAATATAATTTTTGACTACTAAGAATTTAGTCGCCAAAACATACAATTTCTTGTAGTGTGAGTGGACAGTAAATAGCCATGGGGAAAAGGAGAAATTCATGAATGCTACCTATCATCAACAAGAAATGCTATGTATCCCAAATATTCTACCAAATATTTTACCAACGAGAAATGCAATGTTTTGTGTGAATGAATGATCATCCAAGTTTCTGAAATGTACTCGTGGCATCTATAGCATCATATGATATTTTGCGTCTCTTTACGGGTCATTGTAACAAGCCCGCGGGGGACCTCGCTACAGTTCGGACTCGATTGTGTCACGGTCCTTAATCTGAACCAAAAGAGTCCAAATCTGGCAAATCGTTTGAGAAACAGATTTTTTTGAAAAGAAGTGCCAAACATGGACTGCTTTGCCAGATACAGAGTCGCCACCTAAATATTTTTGTTTTGGGAAATTTAGGAAACCCTGACTCGGTGCCAAAGGCCACGTGTCCGTCATCACCAAAGTTGCCTCGGCTTGGGAGCTTGGGTAGATTGGGGAAGGTCAGCTATGAGCACCCCCTCTCGCCCGATCCGAAGATCGGCCTCTACTAACCGTGATATCCGTTTTTGAAAACGTTACGTGTTCTTATTCCATTTATTATCCTAGAATTACTATGTTATGCCGCAGCAAACAAGTATAGACCAAATCGCCTAAATTGGAACAAAACATTGCGTTCGTTTTGAAGATGGTTTGCTACTCGCAAGTAGGCTAAAATGCAGGTTTTGCCACCCTCGAGTGGGCTTTTGGAAAAGATGGTTTTGCCACTATCTAGTGGGCTTAAAAACTCACAGTTTTAATGCATTATTCCAAGTTAGGTAATTCAACCTCCATCCACAGGCATTAAGCAGTTATATCACATATGCAGCTAGCCTCATGGTAATCATGCTGTCATGGCAACAGTCACACGCATGCAAGGATGCTAAAGAAAAGAACTTACAGAGTACTCCAAGCCAAAACAGAAACTAATTAGTAATCATATGCATGATCCTAGTTCATGTTAAGATGGCTAATGCAGCACATGCAAAATGCAACTATAATAGGCTCGGCTATCCTAAAGAATGGCATGTGAAATGCTGCAACTAACAAGTACTCAACTTGGATTTGAAATACAAGTGCAGTTAGCATGATGTGCCGAGCCCGATACATGTAAAGCAAAAATGTATGGATGCACGCATGCATAGCATAAGGTATGCGAATTTAGATATGCCCTAATACTAACCATTGAAAGCAGGTAAATAAAAGGGAAAAAGACGTGGGGATGGAAGACATACACACAGCACCCACACTTATTACAAATTCGCCCTCGCCCGGAGGGACCAAAAGATATACAATTTAATTAACCTACAAGCTAATTAAATATTACAAGCCCTTAATTAATTAATAAATTAACTAAGCCATGGAAAGCAGTAAAAGCCTCGGGAAGAGGAATGAATGCATGCATGCTCGGCTTTGCTCGGAAATCCCACGCCATGCACAAGTTTGCCTCTGTTTTCCCTGCTTGCTCCTCTGAAAATTGCACAACTCCCAAGGTATGCTTCATGGACACTGTAGAGCACCACCGGCCAGAAGGAATGACCACCGGCCATGGGGAATGATCATCGCCTACTGGTTAAGCCATCGGCCACTGATGGATGGCCGGTCGGCACTGGAGATGGCCGGCG